GCATGACAGCGGGCGGTGCCCCAACTCCCCAATCGGCCCTGCTCTGAGCCCGACCAGGGACTGCACTTAGGGATTGGGTCTGCCCTCTGCCACCCGGGAGCAGGCCTAAGCCAGCAGGTCGTTATCTTCCGAGGGGTCCCAGACTGCGAGAGGGCACAGGCCGGGCTGAGGGACCCCCCCTTCCCCCGAGTGCACAGATTTTTGTGCACTGGGCCTCTAGTCTATATATAAAAGCCAAGCGACCGAACAGCAGAACGACCAGAATGACCAGTGGCTATGACACAAACTGCGGCCCAACTGGCCGATGGTGGGATGGCCCCTCTCCTCTATGGTCCCCCACCCCACCCTGATCAGTGATTCTAAGTAAGTAAACGCTCTCCAGCCTTCATAGACCAGGCACCTGAATGATGAGTGATCAGGAGGAAAACTATTCACAGTCTAGACCATCAGTCAGGTGTCCAGAAGAGGTGCCCAGTCAACCACCATCTTCCCCGCCCCCGGCTGCCCCCCACCCCAATTGGGGGCAGGTGGCAGACCCCATGCATGGGGCCTCTAGTAATAATAATAATAAAACATCCTCGGGTGAGGATTTTAAAAAGTCATGGACTGAATCCTTGTTGGGCATCAGGATATAAATGGAAATTGTTAACCTGAATATTTATTTACTTGTGCCAGGCACTCTTCCCTTGTCACTATATTGACTTCCCACAATAACTCTACACGATGGCTGCCTTCGTTCTGTTTGTTGAGGAGAGTGTTAAACTGCAGTCAGATTAATTCCACAAGGAGACCAAACTCTTTTTAGGTGTAGCATTTTTAATATGAAAGCCTGATGGGGTAGAAGCATGCGTAGGTATCACAACCTTTGTCTCCAACACCCTCTGCTGGCCAGTGCCGGCCGCCAGCCGGTTACAGGCGCGTTGCCTTGGAGACAGCCCAGCCCGGGCCTCGCGAGGCGGAGGGCGGTTGAGGAAGTTCGGGCGAAAGCGAGCGGGGCTGGAGCGGCCAAGTGACGGTTGGCCGGTTTTACCGAAGTGACTGGTACCTCCGGGTGGGCAGAAAAGGGAGGTGCCTGGTGCCATCCATTCGGGCGAAAGGGGAGGAGAGGGGGGAAAGGCAAGGAGAGCGAGGAGAGCAGAGGCACCGCGCGGAGGCGGAGAGATGCGGAGAAAGGGCGGGGCGAGAAGAGGCCGGGCGTGGAGCCCATTGAGTCCAGAGCAGGGAAAGGGGTGGTGAGCAGAGGGGGTGAGACGAAAAGGTGATAGCCCCGTCATTGAATGAAGATAGGTGCAGGGCCAGGAGAGATCGAAAGGCAAAGTCTCTAAGAAGAGACGTTGCGAGGCGTAGGTTCGGGAAGAGCAGCTGGTCCAGATCCAGGGGGAAAAGATCGAGGAACTGGGAGCAAAGGCAAATCGGGAAGCAGCTCTGGGTGAGAAATGGGAGGGGACAGGGAAAGGGGCGGGCGGGGCGGGGCGTGGAGAAGGTCCAAGACCGGGAGCGGGGCGGGCTAGGTACAGGATCCCGTAAGCAGGCAGAAAGGGGCGATACAAAAAGAAGTGGGCAGGCGGGCCAATAAGTGGGGGTGAGGCGAGGTGCAGGTGCAGGTGCAGGTGCGAGATCTGGGGGAGTAGCAGGACTGGGGGTCGGGTGGGAAATAGGTGGGACGCAGCCAAAGCGAGAAACAGAGACCGGGTGCAGGGCAAGTGTAGAGCAAAAAACAAGGACGGTGCAAGGTTGAGGGGAGCGATGAGGAGGTGGAGCGAAACCGGGAAAGGCGCGTGGCCAGGAGCGGCGGTAAGGGCGGGACCCGGAGAAACAGCGGAGGTGGGATCTCGCTTCCCAGTAGATGCAGGACCTGGGGCATCAGCGAGGTCTGGAGCAGAAGCAGAGCCCAGCGCAAGAGCAGGGGCGGGACCAGGAGCAAGAGCAGCGTGTGGGGCAGAAGTCCTAGCAGAGGCTAGACCCGGAGCAGGTGGGGGGGCAAATGCAGGAGCTGGGCGAAGCAAGGACAGAGGTGGCATCTCAGAAGGTGGCCCAGGAGCGCAGTCTTGCTAGCGGGTGTTGACTCCTGCGTTCTCCAGGTTCCAGCCACGCTGCGCGCTGCCCCGTGATGAGCCCTGCTGGCCCTTCGTGGCCGAGACTCCGAGCCCTGTGGGTGCTGTGGTCACTGATGGCGGTGCTGTTGTCACCGTGGAGTCTGTGGGCTGTCGAGGATAACCAGGAGTGCACCTGGCAGGTTGTCCTGAACAAGTTCGAGACGGTAGGCAAGAACCATGGGAGTGACCGCTTCTTTGAGCAAGAACTCCTGGACACAGTGGACAATTTGTTTAGTCTTCTGGTGGACGCGCCTATCGACCCGGAGGAGGTGAGAGGACTGGGGTCGGGTGAATGGGAGAGGTCCTGGAGGTGCATCCGATTGGGCTCTGGACATTTGCCCAACTTCTCCTTGCAGAAATACCTGGGTTTCCCTTACTACCTGAAGATCAACTACTCCTGCAAAGGAGAGGTGAGTGTTTGCAGCTCAAGCGGGCTCATTCTGTGTGAATCTCAGTTTCCTCTTTTCTAACTTTTTAATGGTAGTGGCACCACCAAACCCTAGGAGCCCTTAAGGATTCACAACCATTGCCAGAGCCCCACCAGGCACATAGTAAGTGCTCAAGTAAGCCTTTTTTTTTTCATTAAAAAGTTAAGATATAGCCCTAACTGGTTTGGCTCAGTGGATAGAGCATGGGCCTGCGGACTGAAGGGCCCCGGGTTCGATTCTGGTCAAGGGCATGTACCTTGGTTGCGGGCACATCCCCAGTAGGGGGTGTGCAGGAGATAGCTGATCGATGTTTCTCTCTCATCGATGTTTCTGACGCTCTATCCCTCTCCCTTCCTCTCTGTAAAAATCAATAAAATATATTTTAAAAATTAAGATATAATTCACCTGCCATAAAATTCATCATTTAAAATGTACAAGCCAATAATTTTAGTGTATTCACAAACTTGTGTAATCATCACCACTAATTCTAGAACATTTTCATTACCTCAAAAAGAAAGCCTGTACCTCCACCCCTCCAGACCCTGAAGACCACTAATCTACATTCTGTCCCTATGAATTTGCTTATTTCAGGCAGGCAGTACAATATGTAGCCTTTTATGTCTGGCTTCTTTCACTTAGCATGTTTGTTTGTTTGTTTTTGTTAATCCTCACTGCAGGATATTTTTTCCATTGATTTTTAGAGAGAGTGGAAGGGAGAGAGGGAAGATAGGAGAGAAAGAGAGGAATAGAGAGGGGACATCCATGTGAAAAAAACACACCCTTTAGTTGACACCTATGTATGCCTCGGATTAACCTGCAACCCAGGTATGTGAACCTTGACAGGGAATCGAACCCTTGACTGGGAATCCAACCCACAGCCTTTCAGTCCTAGGGCTGAAGCTCTAACCACTAAGCTACATTTTCAAGGCTCATCCATGTTATAGTATCTATCAGTATTTCCTTTTTATGGCTGAATAATATTCAACTGTATAGATTTTTTTAATCCATTAATTTATAAACATTTGGGTTATTTCCACTTTTTTTGGCTGTTCTGAACAATGCTGCTATGAACATTTGTGTACAGATTTTTGTGTAAACATGTTTTCAATTCTTTCATATATACTTAGGAATGAAATTGCTTGGTTATATGTTAACTCCCTTTCACTTCTGAGGAACTGCCAGATTATTTTCCAAAGCAGCTGTACTACTTTACATTCCTAGCTATGAGGGTTCCTGTTTCTCTTCATCCTCAATTGTCTTTGTCCACCTTTTTTATTATAGCCATCCGAGTGTGTATGAAATGGTATCTCATTGTGGTTTTTATTTGCATTTCCCTCATAACTAATGATTTTGAGCATCTTTTCATGTACTCATTGGACATTTATCTACTTTTGGAGAAATGTCCATTCAGATCTTTTGCTCATTTAAAAATTGAGTTGTCTTTTTATTGTTGTGTTGTATAATTTCTTTTTTAATGTATTTTTTATTGATTAAGATATTACATATGTGTCCTTGACCCCACGTTACCCTCTACCCCCCCCCCGCGTCCCCCCTC